CTGACGATCTGAATGAGGACACTAACCCATTACCTCCATCCATTGGCACCTCGGAACTTGCTGAACCAATCATACAGCCCTACCTTCTTTCCATTAAGTCACAGGAAGATGAACCAACAAGAAACCTGGAGGAGGAAGAGTCATAAGACCGAGAGCAGTGTAGGTGAAGTCTGTGGGTTGGCTGTAACTACAAAGGCCTCAGGCTGTCAGCTGCCCACTGTCCATCCCTCCTCCCAGGCTGGCTATTTCCCAGAGTCTCTGCCCAGTTCTTGGGCAAAAGCAAGCTGGTTGGTCAGCCTTGGGTGTGTGTCTGTGACAGGATCTGGCATTTTTCTCTGGGTTACCACCTGGGCCACCTGGGGCCACAGCAGATGGACTCTCACATTTGAATTCTTTTCTCCCTTTTCCACCTCACTCTCTCCTTTCTTTCTTGGTCTTGTTGTGTAGTCCAGGCTGGTGGATCCTTTCTATCTTGGCTTTCTTTTGTGTGAAAAATGGACCCAATACCAATACTTTTATCCAGATTACTGGATCTGTGTTGGGAATAAAAATGTGGTTAGAGTTCTAGTGCTTCAGAAAATTGGGCATGGGCATGATCCACACCAACTGGCCAGGCAGAGTCCACTGCACATTTTTTTCCTTCCTTCCTTCCTTCCTTCCTTCCTTCCTTCCTTCCTTCCTTTCTTTCTTCTTTCTCTCTCTCTTCTTTCCTTCCTTCCTTCCTTTAATTTGAGACAGGGTTTCTCTTTATAGCCCCATCTGTCCTGGAACTCCCTGTGTAGGTCAGGCTAGCTTCATACTCAAAAAGGTCCACCTGCCTCTACCTTCTGGGTGCTGGGATTAAAGGTGTGGATCACCACATCTAGTCAGTGCACACACTCTAACTAGGAGTATGTTAGTTATCTGGGATGTTAGGTATATGGGATTCGCAGAACATTTCTCTCTAGGAGATGTGATTTGAACTCTGAACCCTGCGAAGCCCCATGTGCCTGGTTGTCTACAGAGGTCTGGAAATCAAGTTTGGCTCTCATGGGTTCCCATCAAGCTGTGTAGCTCACACACCCAGAGCTTTCTCCTTTGTATGGGGCTGGCCCCTCAGCTAGGGCTGGTGGAATCCCACCAGTCACCCTTACTGCACTTCTGCCTACTTTAGCCACTGGTTACTTCTACTTTCCTTGGAGTCAAATAGGTTTCTTTTCTTGGACTGTGAAGGCCACCCAAGTGATCTTGAATTGAAACACGAAACTGGAGCTAACGCCTGTTCGAGATGAAATAAGCCAGTTATCTGCCCCTTACCTTTATGTGATTGCTCATGGCTCCTCACTTTATGGGAATGCTGTGTGTAATGAGATGTATGAGAAGCCCTTTGAGAGAGATGAACAGATACAAAAGGGCCATTTTTTGCTATGAGTAGGAGAAGCTGCATTTTTTTTTTTTTTTTTTTTTTAAAGAATGACCTTTAGAACAGACAAACAAGAACAGATTCTGGTTTTGCAACATACCTGCTGTGGTTTTTTTTGATAGGTTGAAACCTCTGTGTGAGCCTCCCTGGTAAAATGATGTTGGTGATGCTTGACTTGGAAGGTGCTTACCCGAATTAGAAGTCCCAGGGATAAAGTTCCTACCAAGGAAGTACCTGGCACACAGTAGGTGCTCTATAAATAGTGGCTATCATTACAGCTGTTATATGTCACAACCATAGCAACAACAATGCCACACACTCATTCTGAGTGCCCCTCCCCCTCCTCCCAAAGAGCTAAGCTTCTCTGTTCCTGTCTGCAAGGTGTTAAGGACCTGTACATTCCTGGCTGGATTCCCAGCAAAGAAAGGCATACTTTGCCTCCGGGGCTCTTTCCTAAGGAACTGGACAACTTCTCTGCTTTGCCCAAGACTGTCCTAACTGTAGTGCTGGCAGTGCCACACATCAGGAAACCTCTTAGTCACTGGGAAGCTGCAATGCCTGGCTTTCTACTTTTCACTGGGGTTAGCCCAACCCCTCTGGCATAGGTATTAGGCTGCTTAGATAGTAGAGTATTACAATTTGTTTTGGAGGCTACGGGATGTAGCTCAATAGTAGTCAGCATGCCTTTGCACCTCAGGAGCCCTGGCTTCCACCCTTTTTATTTGGGGGAGGAGGGAAGGTCCTGAAAATATATATTGAAAACATCTAATTGTGAATGTTAAATGTACATTTAAGTGTGAATTGTATGACAAAATAAAGCTACTACAATTAAAAGATATTTTAAAGTTTTAAAATGCATGTTTATGTATCTGCACACACACACACATACACTCACAGACACATGCTCATGCATCTCTGCCATCACACACAGGTGTAAGTCAGAGGAATAATTGAGGAAGTCAGTTTCCTTCTTCCTCTATATGTGTTCTGAAAACCAAGCTCAGGTCATCAGGCTTAGTGGCCAGTACCTTTCCTGGATGATCTATCTGTCTTGCCAGCCCCAAAGTTTCAGTCCCATGGTTTTTAAATAAAACTGGAAGGACAGGATGGCAGATGCCTTGTAGTCCTATCTTTCAGGAGGTAGTTTGAGAAGATCAGTTTAGCCTGGGCTACAACAGAATCTGCTTCAACAAGCAAACAAATGATGCCAGGAGGCCAAGGATATATAGCCTACATAAAGACCTGGGTTTGGAACTGGTAGTGGCACAATACCTTTAATCCCAGCACTTGTGTATTTGTGTGGGGGCAGAGGCAGGCAGATATCTGTGTGTTCAAGGTCAGCCTGGTCTACAGAGTGAGTTGCAGGGCTACACAGCCAGGGCTACACAGAGAAACCCTATTGGGGGGAGGAGGCAAAGAACAAAAAGCCTAAATTTGATTCCCTAGCACCATAAAAACCCAAAAAAGCCTCCTCCTTAAACCAGTGTTCCTCTTATGCAAATTTAGTCCAAATTATTCTTACTTATTCTTTCACAATTTCATATAAGTGTGTATATATATATATATACTTATATATATATACTTATATATACACATATATGATACACTTTGATCATATTCCCCAGCCCCATAATCTTCTCATCCCCAGACACCAAACTCTTTCTTCTTACCAGCACATCTCTCTCCTACTTTCATGGCTCTTTTGGTGTGTGGGTCCTATTTCATTGATTGGGGCAGGAGCATGGATTGGGACACAAATCACTCTTAAACTCCATCTTGGGATATCTTATCATCTGTAAAAAATCCAAACCAAACCAAACAACAACAAACACTCTAAGCCAGGGAGTACCATCTTCATTTTGCAGAAGAGTAGAGCAAAGGCTTAGTATAAGCAGGTATAAGATCGCCCAGGACTATAGGGAGCATGGGAATGGTAAGCTATGAGGGGTAGGAAGGAGGGAAGAGGTTGGTGAGCCAGTACTGACCAGAGAGAAAAGGGGTTTGCCCTGGTCCTCATCCTGGCAAATAGAGCAAAGGGAAATAAGTGTGGAAGAGAAGGTAAAACCAGAGTGCCCCAGAGGGGCAGAAGGAGAAGGGCTGTGAAGTGAGGAAGGGTGAATTGAGAAAAACCACTCCAGGTAGGGAGCAGCTGGTGAGGTCTCAGAGGCTTGACAGATGGTGGCTTGTTAGAGATCTGTCAGCGGGGTCAGGGGCTTGGGTGTCAGTTGTTGAGTGGGGTGATGTGATTGGATTTCTACCAGATTGTAGAGAGCCCTGGGCACAATCTGTGCTGGGGACTTTGTTCTCAGGTGGTGGACTCTGGTAGGTAATAAGTAATGATCCCATTTCACGTTATGAGACGTGGCAACATTACATTTATGATGTAGCAACAAAAATAGTTTTATGGTTTGGGGTCACCACAACATGAGGAACTGTTTGAAAGGGTGGCAGCGTTAGGTTGAGAATCGCTGCTCTGGAGGAAGGGTGTGTTGTGGTGGCAATTCACAGCACCTTTATTGAAAGCTTTCTAGGTGAAAGGCCCTGAGGTGTAACTTTGTTCAAAGGGCACTTGGCAAAACGAAACTCCCTCCCAGCTGCCACCCAGTAGAGCCTAGATAGGGCACTTGCCTAGAGGAAAAAAAAAAAGGGGGGGGGGGGCGCGCAACCGGGCTAAGAGTTCTGCCTGATTTGTGAGCCACTCATTTTCAAGAAGCGACTCAACATTTATTGAGCACCTCTGGGACAGGCCAAGTCCAAGGACCTAGACAAAGAACTACAGTTTCCACTATCGTGTGGCCAGCCCCTCTGTAGTGAGAGGTCACTGTTAAATGGATGCAGCCGGCCAGTGCACAATTTGCCAACCAAAGATGCGCTTGAAAGCCATTCAGCGAGACTCGGAAGCAGAGCAAAGCTAGGAGGCAAGCCTGCAGGTCCGGGCTCGGCAGCCTTTGCTGGAAGTCAGTTTCCTCACTGTGAGATCTATCAGTGATCTCACAGATCTCAGAGATCTGTGCTTTTGAGCGCACAGAAATAGCACTCAGGACAACCATTACAAAGATTCCCGAAGCCCACCCCAGCTTTATAGAATCAAAACGGCTGGATCTACATTTCCACACCCACCTAACCCTTCGGGGCACTTCTGAGGTAGTTAAGTTACACATCTTAACCTAGAGTACTACTTAATAGGGGCATAACAACCTGCTTCGGAGATGCAAGCGATTCAAGTCCTAAATGGGCAACGTGTGCGAAAGAGCCTCTTAAACAGCAATATACTTCTTTGCAAATGACAGTAATTAAAACAGCCAAATAATAACCGGACAATAACAGTAAAAGGACTGCGGGGCGCTCCAGGAAGGAGGCGAATTACCGTCCGCACCGCAGCCGGCGCAGTCAGGGCGACTGTCTCTTTAAGGCCCACCCCCCGCACCTCCCCCTAGGGGCGTGTCAGAGGAGGTCAGCGGCGCGTGCGCGCGACTCCTCCGGGCGGCCGCAGCGGCGCGACGCCGGCGCTTGTGGCGTGTGCGCTTGGCCCCGCCCAGGCCCCGTCCCTGCCCTCCCCCACCCCCTCCGCGGGGCCTCCCCCGCCCGCGCTGTCCAGCTGGGCCAGTGACGCTGGCGCAGCCGCCGCCGCCGCCGCGTTCCGTCCTCGGAAGCCCGACCGCGGCCCGCGTCCTCCTCCTCCTCCTCCCTCAGCAGCCCGACCGGCAGCGCGAGGCCGACCGGGAGCGCGGGCGGGCGGGCGCGCGCAGCGGCGGAGCGGATCCGGCGGCGCGGGAGCTGCTAGCGCCCCCTTCCCGGAGGTCTCGGCGCCGCTCTCCCCCCCGGTGAGTTGTCACGGCCGCCCGGGCCGGGGGGCCGGCTTTGTGTCCGCGGCGCGCGCGGGACTGGCTGTCAGGGCGCGGGCGGCCACGCACCCCCGCGGGGACGCGGCGGGCCTCGGCGCGGACGCTTGCTCCCGCCCCGGCCGGTGTCAGCGCTGCGAGCCGCGCCGAGGGTAAGCCGGGCCGGGGCCGCCCGGAGGCCGGCGGGGTGGCCGTGGGGCCGGGGGAGCCCGAGGCTCGCCCCCCGGCTCGGCGGAGCCCGCGGCGGGCGGAGGCCCTCCGTGTGGCCGCGCTGGCCCTCCCTCCACGCACGCCCGGCGAAGCCGAGGCCCCGCACGGCCGGACGGGCTCGGCCGAGGTGGGTTTCCTGAGGAAATCTTGCAGCCGCTCGCGTGTGCGCGTGAGAAACTTTTCTTATTATGTGGGCTGTAGCTCGCTGAAGCCACTTCCTGTTCGGTTTGGTTTTTGATGGAGCTGCAAACAGACTTTGCCTTTTTGAGCCTCAACTGAAATCCCAGATATTGATGAGACTGACGGTCCTTCACGGTGGTGACTGTGTAGCCACCGTGGGGGAAAAACTTACCTGCTAACGGCATTGGGAGGGCAGCAAGGCCCAGGGAAAGAGGCGTCAAGTTCACTGGGAACTTCATGGCTCGGCAGAGGCCTGATGTTGTTGCGATGCACTTCTATGGTGACAGGGCAGTATATGCTGCCCTTTGTTGCTCTTGCTGACTGGGGTTTGAAGTCCTCTGTACAGAGATGTACAGGAACATAATCCGGTTCAGTTAAGCCATGGGTATTTACTCTTTTCTAGATCTGCAGTGTCTTCCCACTTTTTCCACTGTGATCAATTTGCTTTTTGCTTTTAGAATCCCTTTGGTTAAAAAAAAAAAAAAAAAAAAAAAAGAGACACACACACTTACTTTTCGTGTTCTGGGAATTCTACACCCACATTGTCACCATCTAGTGGAGACTAGTAGAGACATGCCCTTGGCATTGACTTCTTAGTTTTCTGAGCGTTGCAGCTTTCATTAGATGCATATTCAAGTAGAAATGAGAATTGTCTGAGTTGGAGGGTGTTCCTATTGGGGTGCCCCCTTCCCCTCCCCCTATCATATCTCACTCCTTCTCTCTCTCTTCATCTCCATCTAATAAACCTCTTTCATATAAAATCTGCTGTGCGCATCATCGTTTTATTTGGTCCTAACACCTGTACTTCAGTATAGGAATGTTTTCATAAAACAGTGATAATGTGGAAAACTTCTTGAGGGGTTATTGTATATCAAGCTTGTGCCTCAAGAGTCTCAGTTAAAAGAAATTAAATTCATTTAGTGTTCATGAGTTCGAGTGTGTGAGCCTGTGCACATACACACCCTGATGCTGGCGTGGAGGTCAAAGAACAACTTGCAGGAGCCAGTTTTCTACCTCCCAGCAATTGAACTCAGGTGACCAGGTGTGGAGGCAAGTGCTTTTTACACATTGTGCTATCTCACTGGCCCCAGTTTCACTTTTGATCTCCTTTAATAATATCTGAGGCAGGGTGGATATTATTCTTATTTTTCAAGTTGAGACAAAAGCCACACAAGGTAAATAATCTAAGACCATAAACGTAAATGCTGGCATCTCCAGATCCTTCTCAGAGAACCACTATTTGGGGCTGTTTCTCTAATTATAAGCATTTCTAACTCCCGGATACACATTAACAGCAGGTTTGCACAAATCTACTTGTTCACCTTTTTTTTTTTTTTTTCCATTCTATTTTGTGTGATACACAACATATGCCAGTTGTTTCCTGGTATTATAGGTGCTGTGATGAATAAAACCAAAACCAGACAGGTCTTCATGGTGTTCTGGGTTTTTTTTTTTTTTTTTAACGGGCATTGGTGTTTTGCCTGAATGTCTGTGTGAGTGTCAAATCTTGGAGTTATAGACAGTTGTGAGCTGCCATATGGATGCAGGGATTTGAACCCCAGGCCTCTGGAAGAGCAGTCAGTGCCCTTAACCACTGAGCCCATCGCTCTAGCCCTGGGTGCTACAGTTTTTAAGTTAGTTTATTTTGGTTTATGGTGGTAGTTTTCTTTACTGTTTGCTGCTTAAGGAACTTGTACCCATTAAGTTAAAAGAGGGGACACTTACCAGTTTGAGACCTGCAGATGGGATTCCTGTCTATTCTGGATGTTATAGTAGTAGGAATTATATATGGAACAAATCTTCACCTACTGCTCTAGAAAAGCCTCAGGGTGTGGTCCTGAGAGTAAACCCACCAGCAGTTTGTCTTGCTGAGCCCGAGCTTGAGAAGAGCCAGCATCTAGGCTTGTTGAAAAGGTAAAAAGGTGCTGCAGCCAGTCTGGCCGGTGGCAAGACCTCAGCACTCAGTTTCCTGGCTGGTCTCCACGGTGTGGTGATTGAACTGAAGCTCTTATGTAATGGTGCATCTTCTGGCAGGGGATTTCCTCCTCTGCTGTTGCAGGGGCAGCAGTTCCTGCTTCACCACTTCCTCCACACACATACAAACATACCCTCCAAAGCTAGTAATTTACTTAGCTTCGAAAGTAAGTCTTTTTACAAGTTTATTATTACTATTAATCATTATTTTGCACACTTGTGCTTGTCCATTTCTCATACTAAAACTTGCCTTTGGTTGTGCTAGTTTGTAATCTCAGCATTGGGGAGGCCTGAGGTAGGAGGGTCATGAGTTTCACCTAGCCTGGATACATAAACAGTGAAACCCTCTGTCAAAATCAGATGGCAAAAACCAAAAGAGCTCTCTACCAAAATATCCTTTGCTCTTACTTCATACTTTTTCTTGTGCTTTTTCTGTATCTTTAGCTCTCTTGAAAACTGTTCAAGCCAGGCATGGTGGTGCATGGTTGTAATCCCAGCACTTGGAGGCAGAGACAGGTGGATCACTGAGTTCGAAGCCAGCTAGGTCTACAAAGCAAGTCCAAGATAACCAAGTCTACACAGAGAAACCCTGTCTTGGGGGAAAAAACAAACAAACAAAACCCCCCAAAAGAAAACTGTAAAACTATTTACTTTTGATATCTTCTGTAGGCTTAGAGAAGTAATAAAGTATCTTAATAATTCAGTTAGGGTCTGTAGAGATGGCTCAGTGATTGAGTGCATGCTGCTCTTGCACAGGACTGGAATTTGATTCTTGGCACCCAACCAGCTCACAGCCACTCATAACTTCACAGCTTCAAGTGACTTGATGCCCTTTTCTGGCCTCTGAATGCACACAGACACCTACACATAAACAACAAAATCTTAAAAATGTTGAGCCTGGGCAGGGTGGCAAATGCCTTTAATTCTAGTGTTGAGGAGGCAGGGCAGAGTTCAGGGCCAGTCTCATCTACATAGTGAGTTCTAGGACAGCCGGTACTAAAAAGTGAGACCTTGTCTGAAAACAAAGAAAAAGTTAAAAATTCAATGGGGAACATGATTTTCCTTGTTTCAGTACCAAACAGGTGATCTAGGAGAATGAAGCAGAACCAGAAGAAAATGAAGGAAAGCCAGAGAACACATGGGTGTGTTTTCTCTTCTTTCCCTATTACCAATTCATGAGCGGTAGTGGCAGGTTGTTGTAGCCCACTTGTCTGCGCACATTAAACATTTTACTGAGCTCGTGGATTGACGTGGTCTAGTTGAAACTGATGAGCAAGATTCATTTTCCTTCCTCTACCTGCCTTGAAATCATGAGATTCCTGCTGAGATCATTCTCGAGTAGTAGAAGAATGGAGAAAAGGAATCATGTAGCTTTTTTTTTTTTTTACGTTGAAAGCAAGGATTGCTGTGTTGCAGACTTGAATGTAAAGATTATGACATTTGTGTTAAGGGCAAACATTAAAATAAAAATATGACAAGCACTTCTCTGAAGATTGTATCTGTGTAGGGATCACTCTATGTCTCTGTCCATTTTCTGTTATTGTAACAAAGTACCTGAGATGTGGGAACTCATTAAGAAGAGAAGCTTATTTGGCACACAGTTCTGGAAACCAGGAAGTTGAAGAGCTTGGCACCAGCGTCCTGCATGGTATCATGGCACAGGGTATCACATGGTAAAAACTTGGTAACTTGAGTCTCTTCCTCTTCTAAAGTCAGCATGGGAGCCCCACCCTCAGCATCTCATTTAATCCTAGTTATAGCCAGCCACCTTCTAATCCCACCTCCAGCTAGAATTCATCAATTTGAGGTGTCTGCTCCTTCCTTCCTTCCTTCCTTCCTTCCTTCCTTCCTTCCTTCCTTCCTTCCTTCCTTCCTTCCTTCCTTCCTTCCTTCCTTCCTTCCTTCCTTCTTCCTTCCTTTTTTGGTTTTTCAAGACAGGGTTTCTCTATGTAGCCTTGGCTGTCCTGAACTCGCTTTGTAGACCAGGCTGTCCTCAAATTCAAAATCCTCTTTAATCCACCACATCCATATGTAATAACAATGAGCCTTCACCGAGTCAAATGGTTTTTAGAAAATTCATGCTCATAAGCTATATGGCTACATTGTAGGATACTTAAAAAACTTAAAGCAGTAAAAATACTGTGATGTGGGAGGGCTGTTGGCTTGCTCATGTGAAGAAGAACATAGTTTAGGGCTGGGACTAGAATTTGAAGCTGTTGATCTTGAGACCCAGGAAGCAGTCAAGCAAATCTTGGGTATGAAAATCTTATTTACTACATCATGGCTGAAATTCATGTAAGTAGACATTGTTCTTTTGGTTGATGTGTGTTCACCAGTGTCAACCTGTAAAATTTTTTTAGGTGAGAAGGGAGAGGTCCATCATGCATCTCTTATCTGTGCATGCCCACCCCCTTGAGGTTTGTTTTTTGTCTGGAAAGCATCAATGTTCCTTTATTTGCTCTTTGTCTTTTGTCTCTCAGCTGGGTGTAAAGGTCTCCAGGGGCCTGGTAGATCTGGAAGTGCTGCTGAGCTGAGTTACTGAAAGGCCAGCTGCTGCTCCCAAGACTGCAGGACAGTTGAGTCTGAAGGCACTGGGTATAAGAAAGAGTAACAGGGAG